TTCCTGCTAGTGCTTATAATTCGATTTCGGGTACATTTCATACTGTGGAAACAATATTAGTTGCTACTTCCTCTCCAACTCATGAGCACAGCCGTACTCGAAACATAGATGACACAAATGAGCATCCAAGTAGCCTTCAAGGAACGGTGTCTGAGTGTGACTCAGTTTCTAATAGTGGAAGCTGCTCTGGTGAATCAGAAGATCCTAAAGAGAAAATGGGAAACTCTTCTATTCGACAGGATAGTATTCCTGGTTCCGACAATGAAAGAAGAGAGAAGATTCGACTGAAGAACGAGAGGAAACACCAGCGGCAGAGGGAAAGGAGAGCTCTGGAGTTGCATGACCGATGTTGTGGGTTTCTCATGTCCAGGAAACTGGAGTCACTTGCACAGCAGTTAGTGGCAATGGGGTTCCCTTCTGAGCGAGCAACGTTGGCCTTAATGTTAAATGATGGCAAATTGGAGCAATCGGTATCTTGGCTTTTTGAAGCAAGTGAAACACACACCAAGAGCACCACCAACTGTGAAATCAAGGGTAATTTGAAAATCGATGTAAGTGAGGAGCTTGCACAAATATCTGATATGGAGGCAAGGTACAATTGTTCGAAGCAAGAAGTTGAAAGGGTAGTTGTTGCCTGTGAAGGTGATCTCCAGAAAGCAGAAAATGCCTTAAAATCTCAGAAGCAAGAATCTTCTGTGAGTCGGCCAAAGCCAGAAGAAGATTATGCTCAAACCAATGGTTTGATTAGATCTCAAGGGTCGCCATCTGCTTCAGTTTTTTCAATGAAGCAGAGAGAAATTGAAGCAACCTTTAACCATTCCAATGTAGGCAGTTCAACTTCTATGTTCCCAGATCCTCAAACCATGAATCTGCAGTCTCTACACTTGAATCACCAAATGGCTGTGGAAGATAAAAGGTGGCTTGTTAGAAGATCAAGCCCTTCTGCTATGTTTACTATGGTGCCGACGGGACAACTATTGTCCCCATCTGTTAAAATGGAGGTCCATCTTGGGAATGAAGAGAGAATGGTTCAAGAAGAAATAGATAGGGAGGCAATAGTCATGATGCAACAGCATCCACAATTTATAAATGTTAACCAAGATTCTATTTCTAGTGTAATTGCCTTGCCTTCAGGGACAGTAGGTTTGTATGAAAACTGTTTTCCAACTGCTGAAAATATTAGGTCAAATGGGAAGTTACTACAAAACCACCATATAAGCTGTGTGGCTAATGGGAACTTGGAGCAATTTTATCAAGCACATTATCAAGAACATCCCCATGTCTTTGGAAATGGAGATTACTCATCATCTGGGGTGGGGGTTTTCCGTAAACCAGCATGTGCTTCATCACTTTCACCTTCGATTCGTCTAGGCTCGTGGAGTAGAAGTGCACCTTCACCTTCAGCTACACCTTCTCTTAGAGTTCCACCTTCCCTTGGATTATTCTCTGGTCAGAGTGCAGCCAGAACATTCAGCTCACATTTACATGTGGATTGGAACACTGGGGGCCTCATGCCTGAGCTTGACTACACCAGTGTTGATTGGACTTTGGATTGTGCGTCGTCATCGGCTTCCAAATCAGGTGGACTTTGGCTGGAGATCTCATCATTGTTGAGAAACAGTTCTGGCAACAGGATGAGCAGTTCATTTATGGCAGGGTTGCAAAATGTTGGCATGGATAGGGATGCTTCATCTTCTGCTAGTTTGAGAGAGTGGACATCTCCTTTTGCAGGGAGTGACATATTCAGTCTTCCTAGGCAGTTTGTCACCTCTCCATCTCTATAAGACATCAGGTCTTTTGGGGGACCAAAAATTTATGTAACAAGTCCTCTGTTGTGCTTGCGATGGTTGTCTGCATGATGGTTCAGGTTTTTCAGTGAAATGCATCTACTATTAGCTAGTGGCAGGCTAATGCATTTTTGTGCCTTTTTCCTGGAACTCTTCTGCATTTCAGCAATTGATTTGTTAAAATTTGGAACCCCCTAAAAAAGAGAAAGTGGATTATTGAATCTAACTAGCTTATTTTCAACTCATTTAACAAACTAGAATTATAAAACAGATGATTATTTTCTTTCCAACCTATTCTTTTTTGGTAAAACAAGTTGTTTTGGTAAAGAACCTTCTGATTCTTGTATTCTATAATGTGAATATTTTAAATCAGGCAAAGGAGAATATTCAACGGATAGAACTGAAAAATACAATGACTATTGGGTTAGATATATATATATATATATGGGGAGGGATTAGATTACTCAAAGAGTAATTCTTGGTAAAGTTATTTTACTTAATAACTTGTAGTATATGTTGAATTAATGCATAGATTAAATCTATAAATTTTAAAAAATTTAAAAATTATTTAATACTTCATTTCAATAATTTAAATTGACGGATAATAATGATTTGAATCTATAATAATGTATCATATAGTTTTCAAATTTTTTAAGAATTTGTAGACTTAATTATACATAAAAAAAACTTTTAATTTAACAGTTGTATTATTGAAATTCAACTTATATCATGAGTTATTGGATAAAGTAACTTTATCAAGACTTACCATATAAGTTATTTGATCCATCCTCTCTCTATATATATGAGGAGGGATTAATCAATTTCAAGAATAACTCTTAGTAAATTTATTCTACTTAATAACTCATAGTGTATTTTAAATTTCAACGATCCAAGCTGTTAAATTGAAAGTTCTTAATTTATATATCAAGTCTAAAATTTTAAAAAAAATTGAAAATTATATGATATTTTATCATATAAATTCAAATCAACGTATAATTTTTTTTTAAAATTATCCATCAATTTGAATTAACAAAATGAAGTATCAAATAATTTTTATTTTTTTAAATTTGCATATGTATGAGAAGGAATCCACTTATTTTAGCAGTAAGCGTGTGTTTTGGGTGGCATTTCGAGTCACCCAAACTAACGTTGAAACAAAAATTCCAAGGAATTGCTTTATGTTTTAGTGCTTGGGATAGTGGGATTTTCCTTTTCCCATTTATGTTGACGCCAATGGGTTTTCAAACCTAAGTTTATCTAGACTTATTTTACTCAATAATTCATATTTTATATTAAAATTTAAAGATTTAACCGTTGAATTAAAAGTTTTTAATGCATAAATCAAGTTTACAAATTTTAAAAAAAAAAATTGAAGATTGTTTAATACTTTTTTCTTAAATTGAAATCAACATGTAAAATGTTTTTATAATTATTTGTCAATTTGAATTAATGAAACAAAGTATTAAATATTTTTTAATTTTTTTAAAATTTGTAGACTTAATATATTCATTTAGAACTTTTAATTTAATAGTTGAATCATTAAAATTTGATGTAAAATATGAGTTATTAAATAGAATAAGTTTACTAAGACTTATTTTTAGAATATAAGTGAATCTCTTTCTCCCTCTCTCTCTTTATATATATATATATATATATATAAAAAGAGAGAG